ATCACAGCCTTGGTATGCGTTCATTCACGTAATCCGTTTTCAATACGGAACCATAGCCCTCAGCCTTGTCATATGAATTTCCTAGTGCTGCCATAATAAACCACCTGTAAGGTGGGTGGTTTAAAACACCCAAAGAGTCTAAGGTGTCAGCAAGGCCATGCTCTTCCATAAGGCTCTAAGGAAGGATCCATTCCACACCTGCCTCCCTGCTTCTGGTGGTCGCCAGCAATCCTTGGTGTTTCTTAGCTTGTAGACTCATTCTAATCTCTGTCTTCATGTGGTGTTCCTCCCTCGGTGTGTCTTCACATTGCCTTCCGTGTGTGTGTGTGTGTGTGTGTGTGTGTACGTACATGCACGCCTCTTCCCTTCTTGTAAGGACACCAGAGTGGATTTAGGGCCCACCCCCTAAATGATGGTGCCTCCTTGGCTCTGTCCACTTAACAATGACTTTAGGATTTGAATTGATGGAAAGGGAGTGGGGTATTAAAACATGTCCAAGTTAAAAAAAAAAAAAAGTCCACGAATTCTTCAACACTATTTCCATCTGAGGTAGAATCTAGATCTTTTCTTTATATGGACTGGCCTCACCAACTTGCTCTGTAACAAATAAAATAGGGCAGAAGGAACACCATGTGACTTCTGAGGCCAAGTCCTAGAAGGTGACAGAGCCTCTGCTGGACTCTGACATATGCCTTTGGGGTCCTGAGCTGTCATGTAAGAAGTCTGGCAATGCTGAAGCCACCAGGCCAGAGAGACCACACAGACGTAGAAAGTGAGGTCCCCAAAGCTTCATGAATGTTCCAGCTTCCAGTCTTCCCAGCCTGGGTGTCAGATATGAGTGAAGAATCAAGAGGACACTAGTCCCAGACACCATCTGACCACAATGAGAGAGCAGCCCAGAGTACTCCGTACCTGAACTATGAGAGACAATAAATGCATGTCACTGTTTATACCACTAGGTTCGGGGTGACAGTAATAACACACTGGAACGGAGCGCAGAACGGAAGGGAGAAGGGGGAGGAGAAAACATGTATTTTATAAAAATTAAGAATTTTTAAAAATTACAAGTGGTAATGTGATTAAAATATTTAAGACAAATTACAAACATGCCAGTGAACTTGATGGTAACCGAAAGCTTCCTTTCATATGCGTTAGGTAGCTCAGTCTCTCGAGGCTGATAGGTGAGGGTGACTACTTTACTCTTATCTGTGCCCAGTATTTTCCCTTGTAGGATGGCAACAGAGGGACCTCAAACCAAATTGTATATTGTGAGATAAATGTTGTAAAAATCAATTGTTTTACTGCATATGTTAACTCTCTTCAGAAAAAAAACCTGGGCATTTTACCTCGAGAGCCTTAAGAATGGTTTACGTTGAAAGTGACAGGAAATCCAACTCAAACTACTTGCAAAACAGGCAGTTTATCAGCTTGCACAGTGAAGGCCTGGCAGGACGGCTGGTTAACCTGCTGCAGTTCATCCAACGTCATGCACATTTTGTTTTCTTAGTTTTGTTGGGGCCATCCTCAAACTCCATGTAGTTATTTACGGACATGAGGAATCTCAATCAGTGGGATAAAATTTTATGAGTATGATCAGTTTAAAGAAACAGAACCCATCAGTCTTATTTAGCTATTTGTCATTCACTGGAGCTGCTGGCTTCTATGGTAGTAATACACCCTGAGCCCAGCACACCAACTCACCTAGGCCAAGGAAATACACAAGCTCCACGAGCTGGTCACTACACCGGACTGGGATTTACCGGCAAAATAGTACAAGAAAGTGAGGGCTCTGAGGGAACATCACAGAAATAGGAGTTTGGCAAGGGGCAGGGATTACCTGAAATCTGGTCTCTCAGGCAAGGAAGAGCAAAAGATACAATTTCTTGGGGCCGAGTAGGTGCAGCTAACTGGATCAGGAAAAGTGGAACAAATCCTCCCATAAGGCAATACAGTTAAAAAAAAAAGATTGCAATGTTTCATGCTCAACTTTTTTTAATGTTAAAATTAAAATGTAATTCTCTGCCCCACCCCTGTCACCATTATAAATATGTAGCAGTGATTTGTAAAAGTCTTTTTACCTGGAGACTATTTGTTCTTTGATATGTTGCAAATATTTTTTCTGAATTGGGCAGGAAATTTTTTACACATTTTAATTCCCTACAAGTTGAGGGGTAAGGACACAACTCCAGTGCTAGACTATCAGTTTGAAACCTGGATGAACTTGGGCAAGTTAAAACAGCACCTGTTACATGTCTGTGTATGGGAACAACAGTAGCTACTTCCTACGGTTTTTCTGAGGATCAAATGATTTTTTTTATTCATGTAAGTTTAGTTCATCTATCTAAAGTGTGTAGAATAGCGCTCAGCACATACTAAGCTTTATGTAACTGTTACCTATGATGAGAATGACATGTGATGTACATGGAGCCACTATATTTAACTCGTTTGATAATCAAGAATTTGCATAGAACTATGTCCTTATTTGAAACATATAAACCAAAAGTTTCCAACTTCCTGTACAAGTTGAAAACTTTCAACAAAGATCTCTTGGATACAAAAAAGGTCCAAGTGTGGCTCAAAATTTATTCTGTGATATAATGTTATTCTAAAGTCATAGTTATTTTGAAAGTCTTTTTTAACAGCAAAAAAATAACACCAAGTTGAAATTTTTTATTTTGCTAATTGCAAACAGAATAGTTCACTTTCTATGGTTTCTGCACACTTAATCACTGATAACTTCTGTAAGATGCTATGTCCTTCACAGTTCAGATGCCTGATCTTCTGTGAGGGCCCAACTTGCCTTCCTTTCTACCCACAGAATTAATTCCTTTTCAGAAGTCTTGTCGGATGTTTTCTTTGTTGGCCTCTCCATGTTGCTGCTTAATTTGAAAGATTTCATTTTCTAATTGCACAATAGTCCTTTCAATCTCATAATTCTTACTGACCAGGGATACCCAACTAGAACAAAAAAATAAAGGAAAAATTACTCATTGTAAAATTTCTTAGAAGATTTTATCAAATATACATTTTGAGCCAGAGTCATAACACTGACGTTCACTTTTAACTTTCCACTTTAAAAAGCTGAGGCACGATGGGGGAAAGTGAGTAAAGGGTGCACAGGGTCTCTCTGCATTATTTCTTACAACTGCATATGAATCTATAATTATCTACAAATAAAAAGTTTAATTAAAACGGGAAATTAGAAAGAGCTGAAGAGAGAGGAGAGTGAAGGAAGACAGTATTTAACTGGGTTAACCAAAAAGAAGAGAACACAGGGCAGAGGCAACAGTTAAAGAAAAATGAAGAAATTTCTAGAATTGATAAGAAAAAATTCCAGAGATCCAAGAAGCCTTCCCCTGACCCCAGAAGAAAATCTCTAGGACAAATAAAAATACACATGTAAATTTGATGATCTTAGCTTGAAAAAAATATGAGAAGATGCGTAACAGATAACATTGGGTACATGCAGGCGGAGCGGAAAGTGAACAAGAAAAATGAGGTGCGTGATGGAGAAAAGATAAAGAGCAGAGCAAAAAGGAAGAGAGAAATTATACAAAAATTCATGATTACATTTAAAGATCTGGATAAACTTATTCGTGTGTATGAAGAACATTTAAAAAATAAAACATAAACAAAGGATAAGAAAACTGAGATGCAAACAAATTAGCAACAAAGTATAGAATATCCATACTTTCTGCAAGAATTTAAAACATAGGTAATTTTTTCCCTTTAAAAATAGGTAAAATTCTATTCAGAGCAGAAATATTGAACTGAAAACAGGCACTCTAAGACCAGACTCAATTAGCAGTGGTTCAGATTTTGGCAACTTTCATTGCCTTCCAAGCTCATACCTCAGAACGAGGCAAAGCAGTGAAGAGCACAATTCAGAAAATAGGATTTCTCTGACACTTGTGGCATCCCGTTTGAATACTGTTTGAATCACATTGTTGAATCTTGATCTTAAATTTGCTACATAATTGAAATGATGAAATTACAGGTACTCACTTTGACTCCATTTCTCTTAATTTTGATCCTGCTGTGAGTTGCATGTTCTTTCGCTGCCAGTTTAAATCTTGAATATGTTTCCTGTAAAAAATTATTTATAGAACCCACTTGCATTTTAACATAAGACTAAAATCAAAAGAAAAATCCATAATCGATAATACATTTTTAATCCCTTGAGAACAGTTATATACTAATTCCAAGGATTAAATTTCTTCTAATTATTTTTCAATTTTAAATTTCATAAAACAAGCTCACTGTGAAAATTACACACGCGCAGAGATTAAAAATTTAAACTCCTTCCTCACATGTACATCTTCTTCTCCCCGATAACTGCTGCTCAGTTTTTGGTGGGTGTCCTCCCAGACTCTTTTCTACATGTGTTTGTGCATGCAGAGTTTTTTTTTTTCTTTCACATAAATCAAAATATATGTGTTATTCTGCAACTTTTCCCCCTTCTAAAAGTGCCCTTACAAGGTTTGCAGACATGCAAATTGCAAAAGATCTGGTAGATATTTTCAGGCCTCAGATCTATTTCTCTTCCACTCAGAGGGCAAACCCAACACCAGAGGCTGGACAAAGAGTGGATCAGCCACTGCTTACTCTCCTATGACCAGAGTCCACTGGTTCCCTTTTCTTTTCACTCTATTTGTTAAAGGCTTGCCTAAACTTTATTCTGAAATAAGAGGAAACACACTTTACCTTAACTTCTGGAGCTCTTTCTGTGCATGTTCAATCATATGAACTAGATTTCTAAGGAAGAAAAACAGAAAAATTAGATTAATGTACATTAAAATCTAATAGCACCAACTAAAAGTGAACTATCTAGTTGACGCAAGGTCAATTTTTTTCTGCTCAAAAATAATCTTTATTGAGTTCTCTGCACCAAATACCATATTAGACACTAAAAATATTAGCTCATTTAATTCTCACAAGAATTCTTTGAGGTAGGTACGATTATCCTTATTTCATAGATGAGAAAATGAGACTTAGATTAAGTAACTTGGTCAAGGTAAAATAGTGTCAGAGCTGAATTCTATTTCAGGTCTTCTAAATCCTAGAGCCCAAGCAGTTTACTGATACCCTAATTCTGTGAACTTTTCATAGAGAATATAGAAATACCTGATGTAAATATGCCCATTTAAACCCTTTCATTTCTATATTTCTGCATCCACATTTACCTTGTCATTCTCCTCTGCTGCCGAGAGAGAAGAAAACTGCCCAGGGACAGGCAGCTTTCCTTTGAATTACCGCCTCCAGTTTACTTGTCGTCTCCCCGCTTCACCCATCTCCCTCTTCAGTGTACAAGTCTCAACTTACTTCTAGTAAAACTTGCTGCATTGTATAGTGAGTCAGAAGATGGGTTCTAGTCCCAGCTCTGCCCTAAACAGCCGACTGTCCTTGGATGAGTCACTTGACATCACTGGAACTAAGCCTGCTTATTTATAAAATCAGGGTACAGAATTCTCTCTTTATTAACCAAATACTATTTTCTAGGAGTCTTGCGCCAAGATCTACTTAGAATTGGAAGCTTTCCGCCCAGCATGTTTAATGCTCTCAAATGCTTTCACGAGGAGAAAAACTTAACTTTGATAACACACAGTACATCTCCTCTGGAGACGCATCCACTGGGTTTGAAGGAGACAAAATATGCTTGGGGAATGGCTAACGCAGAAGTGTTATGTAATTGATGGAAAATAAATGATGTGCACAGTAATCAGTATAGTTACTCAGAGAGGGAGAGAGTAGCAGAGGCAGAATTTCAATCAGGAAAAACAAGGGCACAGATTAGAGTTGGGCCTTACACACACTGAATTTGGGTGGAATAGTTAAAGTATTCCAGGAAGCGGCAAGGCATGAGTAAGGGCCCAGGGGCGGGTTTATGATATTCATCAGCGAGGACTAGTTTAGCTTGAGTCAAAGACTACAACTGAGGTACAGCCTTTTGCCTTGAATACCATGCTAAATAGTATGAACCTTACCCTGCGGGTAATGAGAAATTATTATTTTTTCCCCTCTTTAATTCCTCCTCCCCACTTCCACCCCTGACCTACGGATGTTGCTGTCTCCCCTTAAGAACTGGATCTCTGAAGGCGGGGCATCTCCTCCCACAAGCTCACAGCAGGCACCTGGGGTATGGTCCATGGCTCCACCTGGAGCGGGAACCCAGGACCTTCTGCGTGTAAAGCGGACATGCCAACCACTACTCTACAGAGCCACCCCATGAGAAATTATTAAAGGCCAGTTTCTAGGCAAGTTGACAGCAACGTTCTCCTCAATTTAATGTTTTTGTTTTTTGTTTGTTTTTTTTTGTTCCTGCATGCATGTTTTCCACCATTCCTAGAATGTTCTCACTCTCCTCTAAATGTCCAAATTTCACCCCTTCTTAACAACCCTAATTCTTAATGTCCCTTCTCTGGATCTCTGTAGTTTATAGATCATAGAACACAACTGCAACACTTCTCCCCATACTGCCCCAAATGTACCGCTGGTTATTTGGCATAGACTATCTTATCTCAACTGGTTAAAGCTCCTTGAGAAAAAAGATCACATTTTTCCATTTCACACACAAATTTTCTTGGATTGATCTGTCTCTTAACCCCATTTTTCATTTATCTCCCTTGCAACATATTCACCAAAGAAAAAGGTTTGTTCTGTAGCTTCCCAAATTCTCGAATTTTGCCCGATGGAGCCTTACTTGGCCATATTAAACATAATTCTGAAAATCCAAGAAAAAGTATTTATCATTTTGTGATTCTTCTTTATTTTTCAGGAAACATACTCTAACAGTTTTTTGCACACTCATGAGGTTCAGTGGCCTTTTCTCAAACTGTGAGTAGACATTCAGGGGACCTGGAGAGCTCGAGGGAGCTACAAAGGTCATCTAACTAATACTACAAATAAGGAACCTGAACCCCAGAGAGATTACAAAACCTGAAGCTAGTTATATGCAACAGAACCGGGACCTCAGTGGCTTGTTCTGACACTTTTGTTTCTGGTGTTCTCTACACGGTTGACTCTTATTATTTGCAGATTTTGTATTTATGAATTTTCCCACTCACTCAAATTTATTTCTAACCCCAAAGTCAAATACTTGTAGTGTTTTTCAATCATTCGCAGACATGCTCAGAGCAGTGAAAAATCTGAGTTGTCAGATATGCACGTTCCCAGTTGGAGTGGAACAGGAAGACGCTCTGCCTTGTTTGAGGTCTTCTACGGAGCAGACCGAAGGATGAAGTTTAATTTCCAACTCTGGCAAGCTACTTAACACTTCTGAACTTTGCTTTCTCTTTATAAAATAAAGAAAATAAAATCTGCCAGGATAAGTTGTTTTTAGGATTTAAGCTTGTAATCTATGTGAGATGCGTACATATACGTATGTACATATTTCCCCCAGGAGAAATAGGACAGTGTTTGCTAATTAAGTATTCAAGGCCACTTCTATAGAACATAACATGCAACTAAGGTGAATCGACTGTATAAACCAACCTCCACGTTAAGGATCACGTCCTGCCAAGGTGTGATGTAAGTCAGACCTCAGAACTCATTTTATTACAACATTACGCAATAAACACGGCAGTCAGGTCTAGGTCCCCTTAGTATTCAAACTATGAGGTGGGTCTCGAAGCAGTGGCCTTTCATATGGGTTATGGTTCTAGGACATGATCCCAAGTGAAAGTTCAACTCTGCTATTTTAATCCTACTTCCTTTATCCTACTTCCTACATTAAAAAAAAATATCAAAGTTGTGGGTGGCGTGGGTTTTCTTTCTAAAGCAAAACAAAAAGCTTCTTACTCATTATATACTTTCCAGGCATTGCATCCATGCTGTGACATTAGTTCAAGATTTTCAATTCGAACCGCTTGATGCTCTAACTGGGCCATAGAATTATTCACACATTCCTGCCATGCAGTAATGTCATTTTTCTGACCAGAGGAAGGGGCTGGAAGTTCATACCTGAAATTAAACAATAATAAAATAAAACTACATATTCCCCTCAAATCTTTTCTCTCCTCCCAACAAAATGCCTCATGAATCTACATACAATATAAAAACTACAGAAGACTGAAGATAAGATGCAGACTTCACAATAATAGTAAAACTATTTATCCTAAGGAGCGATTAATTTACAAATAAGACTTAGCATCCTTACATACAGGAACAAAAAAATGTTCTTATCAATGTGAACTGATTCACTCAGCTGCAGTACGTTCACATAAGTGGCTGGCTGTTATATTAGCTATTAAATGATGTTACTGAAGAATACTTAAAACATTAAAACCTTTGTAATATACTAAAGAAAAAAATGGGATACAAAAACTGTGTTATCATTTTTGTAAATACATCTACATCCATCAACACTCATCTCAAACTCACAAATCACACCCCTCTCAAACTCACATCTCGAACCCACAAACCACACTCCTCTAGAGAAAAATACTGGACCTCACTCTATTCTCTCTTCATACCCAGTCCTTCAACACTGCCAAGAGACAGCAAATGTACTCTTCACAAATCTCAGCTCATTATGAGTTACTACAAAGTAAGTTTTAATTTCTATTCTAATGTTTTTATTAGATACTGCAAAACCTTAAAATTATTTCTAGAAAAAATTTGAGAAATATGCAACCAGGATCAAGAATACAGCATTTCGTTTTTTTTTTTTAAAAAAGCTTTACACATACATCTTATAAATGTGGTATTTTTTAAACTTCTGATTATAACTTACAGTAAAAATCATTTTACACTGTGACCCAGTACACAAATACACATAACTGCACAAAAATTTCACAAAACAATACTTACCTTTACATGCAATGCATTCTGACATTTTCTATCCTATTTCCTTAAGAAAGTGCTGTGGTATCTAACTAAATTTACCTCATAATCTGCTGCTTAATAGGTCATTACCTATGGTTTGAAATCTACTACCCTGAAGGAGGTAGTATCATGAAAACCTTTAGAGCGCGAGCACCTGGAAACGGGAGCACAAAGGAGTCCCGGCAGCTGTCCTGCCTCTGTCACTCAAACCAGACAGGAACTGGTCCTCTAGTCCCACAGACTCGAATCCCTCTTACAGTCAGTCTACAGGCTTGCTGAGGAGACAGCCTCACTGGTCACCAAGCCCTCTCCTGAAGGATTCTGCTCTGACAGATTACTTTGTGGTTCCCATAATTCCACAGTTATTTCAGAGCTGGAAGGGACCGCAGATGTTAAGCAATCCAATTCTCCATTTTGTGGAAATGAACAAAGGGTGGTTTCGGTTTTTTTTTCCTGAGGAAGGAGAAACAGTCATGTGAAGTGGCGGGGGGGAGGGGAGATTGTGGAAACGAAGTCCAACCACGCAGGCATTCTGCACTGCCTACAGCCGCCTTGCGGAAGAATGAAGCGGGGTCATTAGAGGCCCCAACACTCGTTTTGTCAGTGAAGAACTACAGGTCTAATCGAGAACATTTCCTTGGAAATTCTTAAGCATGAACTTCGTTATAATTAACCATTCTCCTACAGTCGAATTTTAAAATATTTTACACTTTTAAACAACACTGCAAAGAATATCTTTGAACATTAACACAGGATTCTGTGAACCACTATCTTATGAAAAAACAAATACATAAAAACAGACAAGAATTTTTCCCTTTCTACATTTATTTTAACATGGCTATAGTAGTTTTACTAATAAATTAAAATTAAACAATGCTCTACGGCATGCCACCCCAAACAAGCCCGATCTCGTCTGATCTCGGAAGCTAAGCAGGGTCGGGCCTGGTTAGTACTTGGATGGGAGACCACCTAGGAAGACCAGGTGCTGCAGGCATAAAAAATAAAAAATAAGGGATTGTAAGCTGACAAAGTCCTTGTAATCTGTGAGGTCAACCAAGGGTTGCCTTGCCTTAAAAAAATGCTCTGAGCCCAGCTGCATACAGAAACAGGACTTACCGTTTCATACTGAGCAATTCAATTGGTTGCCGAGCAGCCAGTCTTTCAAATTCATTTCTCATTATGTCGGTCTGACGTATAAATGAGAGAAAGAATTATTTTCGAAATCGTCAACAAACTAAAATTAACCACCACCAAGCGATGAATCTAACCTACTTCAATATTTATACTTTATATCATCCATTTTAACAGATCATTTCCTTTCTCCCGTTTCTCTGCATTAAATGCTCTCTAGGATCTGAAAAACACGCACTCTCTCTCTTCATAGGTAAAGTAGCCCACAGAAAAGAGGATTTATCCCAGATCAGCGGTTCTCAGTTCCAGCAGCACATCAGAAATGACCCGAGAGCTCCGAAAACTCCAGTCCCAGCCACATCTCACCCTCTTCCTCATCCCAATTTAACTGTTGAGGTAGAGACTAAACATGACTGTAACTTTTGTTTTTAACTCCCCCACTGATCTTAAAGTGGAGCTGCCAGTGCTGAGAACCACTTATCTAAGTATTTATGGGGACAGGTAGAAGAGGACTTGGACATAAATTTGCTTTAGGGCTATGAGCCTAAGCCTGTATCTCCTTCTTTGGTCTTGGCTGCTATTTTCACACTTACTGTTTGCCAAGAATGAAGAGAGGGGGAAGGGGCAAAGGGAACTGGTTTCTACTATCCGGTCTAACAAATTCACTGTTTTCAAAAAAGAGGTGGTATAACTTTACTTCTATGAGTCCAATGTTTTGGTCAATTATCCTATTCAATTTCTGTTCTGCATATTTCCTGCCGAGTATAAAAAACTGTTTAAGTGAAATTTTCATTTCTAGGAATACCGGAGTTATCCCACGTAATTTCCATTTTTGAGGGTTTCAACTTTAACAGCCTCAAGGAAAAAAAGGCCTTCCAGGAGCCCATATTCCTTGTTTAAAAGTTTTATATTAAGTATTTCTTCTCAGAGAAAGCATTTTTTTTGGACTACTGCTGAGTTACACCCAGCTTTAAAAAAAATGTAGTTATCTAGTTTCCTGCAGAAAACAAGGGTATTCTAGCTAGAGGCGATGCAGAGTGATAGACAAGGAAAAACAGCTAACAATAAGATGGAGAAACTATAAAAATGCAGTACAAGCAGTCTGGAGCCATTAACATAGGTTCCCTAACCTAACTCACAAGACTAGTAAGTGACGGATCTGGAGCTTTAACTCAACTCTCTCCAAAGACTGAGCCAGCGCTCACAGGGCTAAGGCATGAAAAGAACGCCAGGTATGCCTGGCACACGGTGTTCTTACTGCCTTAGAAGTTCTCCATACATTCAATTGATAAATATTTGGGTGCCTATTGTGTGCCAGGCACTGTTCTAAGTGCTAAAGAAGACAAAAAAGATCCCTGCCATGAAGCACTCTCATCCCAACTTAGACAGGCCTCCTTCAACCATCCTATCTAAAGTCGTCACCCAGTCACTGAAGCACATCACTACTTTAATTCTCTCTATAGCTTTATCAATAACCTAATAATTTCCTGACTTATTTGTCTGTCTTCACACTCTAGAATGTAAGCTCCGTGAGTATGGATCTTGCCTATCCTGTTCCCCTATACCTGGCATAGCACAGACCTTCATAAATTAGTTGTTAAATGAATTAATCAAAGAGCAGTTTCAAAGACAGTTTGAGGAGTGGTTTAGGTCTTGGGCAAATTAGCGTCTCTAAACTACAGTTTTCCCATCTAAAAAAACTGGGATAATAAACACATAATTATATGGTCCACAGGGCTATCTTTAGAAATGATAGTGAGCTCAGCAGACTATGAGCTCCTATTATTAAAAAGAGTTACATAATCAGATAGTAATTATAAAGATAGGATGCATATACTGTATTTAAGAGAGCTAAAAAGAAAACTGGTTCAAAAAGTTTTTGACTGAATGCAGTTATCCGAAAGGTTCAAGAATCAATCTAATAAAAAGCATTACTGTACTCAGTTCTTGATGTGGTGAGATCTCTATTTGGGTAGTAACATTTAGAAAAAGCATGAGGAAATTGTTTATCATAGGAATATCTCTCTCCCATTTAAGACTTAGCCAACATTTTTTTCATGTTACTGCAATATAACTATTGTTTTAATAACAAAATTGTTTCATTAACAAAGGGTTACCTGTAACAAGAAAAACCCCCAAACGTATTAAAACGCTTAACAGAATCCATTAACTTAGAAATAATATTTTACATTTCACTTAGCTGACTAGACACTAAAGAGTATCTTGAGGGCACTTCTAAACTAAATATTTAAATGACATATTACTTAGATATGATCGATCCCTTCAGTAATTCACACACATTGGGTAAACATCTAGGCTTTATACAAAGGCCGCCCTCCAGCGGTTCTCAGGACCTTAGGCAATTAAGCTTATACGTATATTTAAAAACTCTAGACCACTTGTTTTTGAGTGGTCCTTAGCAAGGAGAGGATCCCATTGAGGATTCATGCAAGGAACCTTTCCCGGAAAAACATACAAAGTAAATTTTGCACTTTTAGGATGTTCGCGGAGCCCAAGAAAGTCCTTTTGTGAGTCTCAGCATAAGAACCCCGGAGGAAAAGGTTTATCTATCTAGCTGTTTTCAATGGACTGATAATAACTACACAAACCAAGCAAGCAATACTTAGAGCGGGAATTTGGAATTCACGTTTTCCTGGGTAAGGCTCTCGAACTAAATAAAAATTCGCAGGAATCCTGGTTCATACGTTGGGCTCAATACATTACACTTACTTCAAAAGCAGAATAATCCGGGGCTGTCAGGTAGCTCAAGTAGTTCTTAGTAGGTCGGTATCTGCGAGTTTCCTCCTCCACCAGCGCCGCAGCCTAAGAATGAGAAAAGGGGCCAGTGTAGGGGCAGCAATTGTAAGGTGCTTCTTCCAGCACTAAGAGCCAGCGAGCGCTGAGTCACCTACACAGACACCGCAAACTCACCGCTTCCCGCACACCAGGCGCTTCATAACCTTGGTCAAAATACGGCAGCGCATCCACCACAACCTCTCCGGCCACCAAACCTGTACCCGCCATTCTTAGGTTCGCCCGAGATTGCTGAGTCTGCGCAGGCTCAGGCCCACGTCAATGCGCCTGCGCTCGCCGCCGAGCTCATCTACGTCCCCTGCGTGTCGGCTCTGACGCATGCTCAGTTGTTCGTTCTGAAGGCGCGCTCGCCCGGCTGCGAGGAACTGCCCGGCCATTTTGTTTTGGTCGGACGTGACGTCACGTCGTAGTTTCCCAGAGTCAGTGGGATATCTTAATTTCCTGTCCTCGCCTGTTCACAGTTTTTCCTTCCGACGGGCAGCAATTTGTAGAGTGCAACTTTTGGTTTCCTCCGGGATGCTGAAATGCTATCTGGGAGGGGAGTCCTTTAAAACGTTTGGAAGGAACTGACTGCATGATTTGGCGGGGAAGGAGAAACTGGTTTCCCACTTCGTCTACTCCTCTTTCCGCCTTTTCTCCTTTAAACTTCTCCCCCTTTGTGCCGCGCATCTCTCCCCGTGCACTTCGTGCTGCATCGCCACTTCGTTCTCGGCACCTTGAGAATCTATGTATTGGATAAGTGCAGGTCTGTCACTGACTGTAGAAGTGGGTGCCCGTCCCCAGTTAAAACTGAGAGGCTTTAGGGTCTGCCTAACAAGAGGAATCTGATTACCCTCCAGGGAGAGATTGATAACTGACCACCGACGCCAACTTTTAAACTTTCAGGACGTACATAAACGCCAATCATTTTGCGCTTAGGGCTTCCGGCAATAGAGCAGCGCTCCTCACTGCCTCCCCAGCCACTGCGGCTGCTGCTGGTGCATCATCTTAAGTCCGTGGTTCCCAGCTCCGTTTGGTTAAGCAGGCAAAGACCAAATAAGGCAATTGGACTATATACCCTGCCTGGTACAACATAAACCCAGGCTTTGCAAGAGCCAGGAAAAGTTGGCCACGGTTATTAAGCCTGGTTAGTCTAGGATCAATTCGGATCATCTTTTAACCTACTATTAGATAAATGTTCTAGCTACGGGGTTAAGTAAAAGATCTTAACACCTTAAGCAATTTTATTTAAAATTCTCCAAGAGACCCATGGAATTTTTGTATTTATTCATTAGAAGAACTGTAAACAATATTTTATACAAATCTTGAATAATTCTTTTACAAACGTCTAGAATCCATAAAACTTTACAAAAACAAAATAAAAATAGACCTAAGAAAAGGAAGCAGCTTCAGATTGCAGGGATAAAATAAGACCCCCACCCCTGAAGCAAAGGTCTCCTCACAGAGGGGTGGCCAGGAACCACCACCTCCTACCCTCATTTTATAAACACTCAATTCCCAATCACTAATTGTTTCCTCAGGGTTGGAGTGTTAGAAGAGACCAAATGGTGAGATATCTGGTTAAAGCCCCACTGGGGTAAGCTACTTAATAAACTTATTAAAAGACATAGGCTCAGTTCTATCTTCTGGACCCACATCTATAGGAATTATATATACACACACACATATATATATCACTGATCTTAACGGTATCTGCTTCAGATTCATTCATGCACACCAGAATGGGATGTAATGACAATACTGTACAAATCAATAAATTGTATCCTCATACGACTGGTAAGGTTTTGTTAAATTTGCACAAATATTTTCTTTTATGCCAGTTAAAACCATCAACAAGAATTGAAAACAAACTGACATTTGCTATAACATTTATCAATGAAAATTGCATCATCACTGACAAATTCCTCCTTCCAATCACTACTACTACTTTACATATTAAAAGCTGGGTGACTATGTGGTGGTGAACCTAGGAAATGCTCATATTCTGGCTCCAATCCAATTAGAGCAAAAAGTCCAACAATTCTGGAGGAACCAAAAAAAGTCCCTTCTAGTTGAAGTCCTTTATCCTCAGAGTTGACAGTTGGCTCTGCTATACTTCACCTTAAACAAAAACTTTTTCAATAGCTATAATCCCACAGAGCTCAAATTTCCATGTGCAGAACTGACCAACTTACTCTGTGTTTACAAAATTACAGTTCTAGCTTCAGTTCTGTCTCTGTTGTATAACTTTGGGCAAGTTATTTAATGTCTTTGAATTCCAGTTTCTTTATTAGTAAAATGGAGATGCAAATACCTCAGAAAGTTGAGTTACAGACTGAATAAGATGACATACCTACATGTACCATAGTGCCTGGCACATGATGGACACTAAAAAAAAAAGGTAGTTCTCTTGCCCTTGAAAGGACATTTTAGTCATTATTCCACAGTTTAATGATGACACATGAGGGACAAGCTACTCAAGTGCCACCCAATGTGGAAGAGAAGCTGCAAGATGTCTACTTTTATAAGATATTCAAAAATGGTACTAATAAATAGGGCTTGCACATAAGTGTGATTCAATTCCCCTATAGGAATATTAGACCAAAAAAAAAAAAAAAGAGAGAGAGAGAGATTATGATTCTTTAGCTCAGCTCGAACAACCCATAGGTATAAAGCTGCCACAGTATTTCAGTGATGAGAATTATGTTTGTAGGGCTGACATTCTCCATTTTTACCATGTTTCCCTCATACTTTAGACTCAGCATTTCTCTCATTGTGCTCATCTTAGAGCTTTTTTTTTAAAAAAAATAAAACGACAAGTCTTTCCCTTGTAAAAGACAAATGCCTTCATAGACTAAGCACAAAACACAAAGAATGAGATCAAGAATCAAACATAAAAGGCCACTTAAAAAAACTGAAGGCAGAGTAGACAGAGCATTGGTTCCAGACGGCTCCCAACAATTCTCCAGTGATCACCACAGCAGCAACAGGAGAATCCTCCTCCAAGAACCTGGCCCGCTCTGTAACCTTTTCAACTTTCGAGGATTTTGTAGAATACTTTAGGGCATCCTGACTCTTGGAAAAATATTTTCTTTGGCACTTTCTGTTCCATTTAGGATGAGACAATCAATCAAATATTTCATTTCTTCTGCAGAAATTTCATTTTACTTCCTAAAGGGAGAAAAGGGTAGAATTAACTCTCATCAGTTTATTTTTATTTATTGTACACTTATTTGAGGCAAGGGGTTGACAACCTAGGCATTGAGAACAGCCCAGGAGCAAGTTGCCATCGCAAGCTATCAGTTGATGTGTTTGATGCCCGCTAACCCCCGACACCAAGTGTCTAACTGTAGAGGCAGAAGAGAAACTCAGACGTCATCTAAGCCAGTGGCTTTCAACCGTGACTGTAGGTTAAAATCACTTGGCCTGCTCTCCAGAGATTATAATATTGTGGTCAGAGCCGAGAACCCCTGATCTAATCTAACCCCATGGTATAAAGAGAAAACAACAGCCCAAGGAATAATTTGTCCATGGTCTCTCAGCTAGTTAAGAATGGGGCCTGATTTTAATTATGGGCATATATTTCAAAGACCAATATAAATACCATAGAATATAGGTTCTTCATTGTTTTGGGCTAACACACCACTGTTCTATACCATACTGGATAATGAAAAGTTAAGTATAATTGAAAAATCATAAACAATCATGTTTCATTATGAAGTGTGAAATTAGAGACTTGTAGGAAATCCTCTTTTGTTTCAGGTATCCCTAAACCAGGTGTTTTAAATCTGGAACCCATAAATGGACTTTAGGGAGGTCCCCGAACACCCTAAAATTATGTGCAAAATTTGTTTGTATGCTCTTTATTTTTCTGGGGAAAAAGTTCACAGTTTCCATAAGATTCTCCCAGGGATGTAACCTAGAGAAGATCAATAATCATGATATGCAAACTAGTATTACATGAGAGAGCTTCATCTGAGGAAAACTGCCCCATAGACATCCCTGATGGAGAATCCCAAACTCTGAGAAAGAGACTTCTTTTTCTCCAAAACACTTTGGAACGAGGGTCATGGTTTCTGGTCAGCCTACCTGAGGTTATATTATTTATCTGATTATAAAGCTTTTGTGATGAGGCATGCTTACTGCAAAAGCTTTTTCACCGACATTTTTCTATCAGGAAAACACAGCAACTCACCAAGACTCCGCAAAATTCTGTTCACCCCACTGGGTTCAGACTCAGGAATTGTTTCCAAATACTGGAAGGCCCGAACCTCAAACAAACCTACAAGGAAAACTCATGTTGGTGAAACTGTCCAATGTTCAAGGCTGAGAATCAATTAAATAAAACTGCTCACTGTCAATGTACTTCCATAGCTGAAACAATATTACAAAATAAATATTTCCCATAGTAAACAACTCGGATTTTGAGCCCTTGTATTTTACGCTATTTTTTGTTTACATCATTTTCAAACCTTCTAAGTACTCACTAAATACAGAGGGAGAACTTTATGATGAAACTGACCTTTTACCCCACTTTTCCGAAGCTCTCGGTCCTGGATGAATCCTGCAAACATCTGAGTTTCCATGAAGAGATCCAGGAAGTGGCGAACACTTCGGGAAGTGTGGGATTTACGGAATGGCTCCCTTTGAAATACACGCTCCCCACGCTCAGTAACAGTCATGCTAAAAGAATAATGTCCTACCAGCTCCACGAAAAACCTGACAAATGCTTCGGACACCAGAGAGTTGAGTGTCAAATCTGCTGCAAAAATCAGAGAGAAGAAAAAGAAAAAGTCCCCTAAGTTTTGTGTTTATGGGAACACTGGCTCTGGTTATAAAAGTGATGCCTAGGAAATCACAGATTAAAAGAATGAGAATAAACATAGGAATCTTGATTCTTAGCTTTCTTGCTCCCTCCATGACCTACAAAAAGCAAATGGTTTATATTACGTTCATTTTCTTCCCACACATACTCTTATTACATCTCTCAGCCTGGCTTGCACTTCTGTGATTTCACTGGAACTGCTCTTTCAAAGGCCAGCAGTGAGAACCAGCCAAATTTAATCTGCTTTTCTATTTCTATCCTGCTTTACACTCTATGCTGCATTTCTGCTGACTTCCTCCTCATTCCTCTGGTCTCCTATAACTTTATGCTCTGATTTCCTGATTCTTCTCCTGTCTTTTGATGAAACATTTGTTTTTTTCCTGTCTCTTTGTCCTCCTCCAGAGCATGGTCCTGAGCTAATTGGCATAGAAGTAGAGGGGGCTTTCCATGTTAGGTATTCTAAACCATAGCT